ATTCCTTATTATGTAGTAGCAAAGATCTCAAATAGAAAAAAAAAGTCTCCTTACACATTCTTTGCTTTAATATTAGATGTTCTCAGCTCAACAATGCTACTTTTAAAAAAGCTGTAGCTTGTTATTTTATCATTGCCATAAAAACTGAAAATTTTAAAGCTAAAGAAATAATGAAGAAGCTGGTTTCATAGCAAGAATATAAAGAAAAAACAGCTGTCATCATTTATTGTTCTTGCGGTTTATTGTTTTTGGCTTTCTAATCTGTTTTCACTTCTCTTATTTTCCCCACTTAATAGTATTTTATTTTTTCTAATTACATTTAAAGATAGTTTACAACATTCACTTTTATAAGATTTTGATTTTCAAATTTTTTTCTCTCCTCCTCCCTCCTTCCCCAAGATGCATGCAACCTGATATAGGCTATATAAATATACAATCATATTAAATATATTTCCACATTAATCACGTTGTGAAAAAAGAATCAGAACAAAACAAAAGAAAAACCACTAGAAAGAAAAAAAACAAAAAAAGAGAAAACAGTATGCTTCCATGTGTATTCAGACTCCACAGTTCTTTCTCTGGATGTGGATAGCATTTTCCATCATGAGTCTTTTAGAACTGTCTTAGATCATTGCACTGCTGAGAAGAGCTAATTCTATCAACGTTGGTCATTGCACAATGTTACTGTGTACAATGTTTTCCTGGTTCTCACTTCACTCAACATCAGTTCATGGAAGTCTTTCTAGGTTTTTCTGAATCTGCTTGCTTATCATTTCTTATAGAAAATTCCATTACATCCATATACCACAACTTGTTCAGCCATTCCCCAACTGATGGGCATCCCCTCAATTTCCAGTTCTTTGCCACCACAAAAAGAGCTGCTATAAATATTTTTGTACATGTGCTTTCACTTCTCTTGTCAATTTCAAATCCACCATATTCTGTTATGGCCCTAGCAGGTTTTACAGGTAACTCTCTTGGTGGCTCTAACTTCACCAGCTGACCTAGATTTTAACTAACATGCCATAAATCAGCATTTACCAGAGTTAAGAACATGGGATTTGGAGTTGAAAATGACCATAGAGATAACCTAATCCAAATCCTCCCTTCCCTCATTTTACAGAAGAAAAAAATTAAGAACTGGAAAGGTTGAGTAATTTGTTCATTATTACATGTTAAATACATAGCAAAAACAAGATTCTAATTCAGGTCTTCAAAAACAGAGGTAATGGACATAAGAATTATGTTTAATGCTGCTCTGTTATGAATTCCGATTGTAAGTCATATTCAAAAGCTGATCCTGATTATGCTGATCACGTTAAATGCCAGAACACTATAGAGCCTCCTAGAAGAGATCTGTACTCACTCAAAGGAATTTGGCCTGATCCAGAAAAACCAAGGAGGTGAAAAATATCTATTACCTAGATTAAAATATGCATTTGTATGGACAATGTAGTAATCAATCAAGCAGTAAGGATTTATGTGCCAGGCACTGTGCTAAGTGCTGGGTATACAAAAAGAGGCAAAAGACAGTCCCTGCCCTCAAGGAACTCACAATATAATGAGAGAGACAACAAGCAAGTAAATATATACAAACAAGTTTTATACAGGATAAACAGGACACAATTAACAGAGGGAAAGCACTAGAATTCAGATGGCCTGGGAAAGGCTTCCTATAGAAGATGGAATTTTAGTTGTGGTTTCAAGGAAACAGAAATCAGTAGGCAGCAATGAAGAGGGACAGCACTGCACACAAAGGGGACAACCACAGAAAATGCCCAGAGCTAAGAGAGGGAGCCAGAGCCAGGAGGCCGCTGTCACTGGATTGAAGAGTACATATCAGGTAATAAAGTGTAAAAAGACCTGGAAAGGTAGGAAGGAAGGAGCTAGGTTATGAAGGGCTTTGAATGCCAAACAGAAGGAGAAACTGGAGTTTATTTGAGTGGAGGGATGACATGGTTGGACTTGTGTTTTAGGAAAATCACTTCAGTAGCTGAACTGAGGATGGACTGGAGTGGGGAGCACTTTAGGAAGGTGGACCCATCAGCAGGCTACTGTAATAGTCCAGGTATGAGGTGGAGGGCCTGTAGCAGAATGGTCACAGTGTCACAGGAAAGAATGGGGCATATTTCAGATATGTTGCAAAGATGAAAGTGACAGGCCTTGGCAACAGATTGGGTATGAGGAGTAAGAGAGAGTGGGGATTTGAGGGACTGGGAGGATGGTGTTACCCTCTACAGTAAAAGGAAAGGCAGAAGTGGGGGAGGGTTCAGGGGAAAAGATAAGGAGTTCTGTTTTGCACATGTTTTGTTTAAAATGAGTACTGGACATCCAGTTCAAGACGTCTTTGGTGCAAGACTGGAGGTCAGCAGAGAGTCTGAGGCAAGAAAGGCAGATATGATAATCATCAGTATGGAGAAGGTAATTAAATCCTCTCTCTACAGTGGCTCTTCCAAAACTTTTCATCCCTCCTCAAACCTCCCATGGCTGAGATCTCTGCCTAATATTTTACAGAAAAAATTGAGGCCATTTGATGCATGTGATTGTGATGGAATACTATTAGAAATGATGAACAGGATGGTTTCAGAAAAACCTGGGCAGATTTATATCAATTGATGCAAAGGGAAGTAAGCGGAATGAGGAGATTATTGTACAAAGTAATACCAATACTATAATGAAGAGTAAATGTGCAAAATTTAGTTACTGCAAAGATTAGCTACTTGGATCAATATAATGATCCATGACAATTTTGAAGGACTCATGATGAAAAATGCTATCCATACCTCCAGAGACCCAATGAATTCTGAGTACAAAATTGTGTAATTTTTTTCCTTTTTTTTTTTGACATGGCTGATATCTAAATATGTATTGAATAATACCACATGCATAACTGATATTATATTGCTTGCCTTCCTAATATGTTTGGCAGGGCCTGGAATGAGGGTAAAAATTTGGAATTCAAAATTTAAAAATAATGAATGTCAAAAATAAATAATAAATTTGGGGGTAAAAAAAGAAACACTGGACTACCTGAAAGCCTCAAAAAAAATTAGCCTGGAAAGAAAACTACCCAAATCTCTTAGAATCAGAGGACAAAACAGAACTATAAAGAATCCACTGTTATCTCCTGAAAGAAACCTCAAAATGAAAATTCCAAGGAACATTAAGACCACAATCTAGAGCTTCTAGGTCAAAAGGAAAAAAAATACTGCAAGTAGTTAGATGGAAAAAGTTTAAATATTATGGAACTAAAAGTCAAGATTATACAAAACCTGGCAAGTAACACTATACTGGAATGAAGAAACATGGAATGTGATATTCATTAGGTGAAAGGCATAGGCCTACAAATAAGAATAATATATATAGAAAAACTAAGTCTAATGTTCTAGGAGAAAAAATTTAATTTTAATGAAACAAAGTCTAAACATTTTTGATGTAAAGACTAGAGCTGGAGAGAAACTTTGAAGTTCAAATACAAGAGTTAGGAGAAACATGAATCAATCAAATGGGACATTCTAACATGAGGAGATGATACATGTCTCCCCTCTGAACCCTATCATCATAATGGGTAATAGTCTAACTTCACGGAAAACCTGGAAGTGGTTCTGTTATGGTCTAAATGATCTTAAAAGAAGAATGGAAAGGGAAGAAAACTACAGGAAAGGAAGGTTAGTGAAAACTATGCCTATATGGCATCTATAAAAATAGATATATAATATATCAAAGAGATATATAATTATATATATATATATATATAATGTAAACATACATAGTTCATTATTATTACATATAGTTTATAATTCTATGATATATATGTTATATATAATTATGCAAAACATATTACACATAATATAAATATCTAATACAAATAGATGTATTATATAATATAAAAATAGATATATAAACAAATAAAATAGATATATAATATATAAAAGAAATCTATAAAAATAATGAGGAAGAGAGAGAGTGGTTGATACTTGAATCTCACTCTCATCTGAATTAGTCAAAGAAGAGAAGAATACACACACAAATACACTCTCTCTCTTTTTCTTTTTCTCTCTCTCTCTCAGCTGAGTAAAGAAATGCATTCCAATCAACAGGGACACAGGAGGAAAAGAGGAGAAAGAAAAAGGAGGAATTAAAATGAGGGTATATTAAAGAAGGGAATAGTTCTAAGCAAAGCAAATTCTAACTGAAATACAAAAATATTTAATAGTTATTTTTGAGGTGCCAAAGAATAGGAGTCTGAAGGGGTATCTGTTAATTGTGGAATGGCTGTGTAAATGTGATAGAGTATTATTGTGTCAAAAGAAACGATGAAGGACATGGTTTCAGAGAAACCTGAGAAGATCACCTGATGCAGAGTGAACAGAACTAGGAAAATAATTTCTATAATGAAAGACTTAGGAACTCTGACCAGTATAATAACCATATAAAATTCCAGAGGACTAATGATGAAACATGCTATTTACCCTCCTGATAGAGATGTGAAGAATGAGACATGTTATGTGTATTTGCATGTAAATATACATGCATGTAAGTCAGTGTTCACACATGAATATTTTCTTTTGCATGTGGCCAATGTGGATATATGTTTTGCTTGACTACAAATATTTGTAATGAGTTGTTTCTCTTTCATTTTCTTTCTTTTTTCTTTTTCTTTTTTGCAAGGTAACTGGAGTTAAATGACTTGCCCAGGGTCACATAGCTGGTAAGTGTCAAGTGTCTGAGGCCACATTTGAACTCAGGTCCTCCTGACTCCAGGGCCAGTGCTCTATCCACTGTGCCACCCAGCTGCCCCTTTCTTTCATTTCCAACTGGCAGTCTGGGTGGATGAAAGAGAGACAAAGTAGAGTTTTGCTCATTGAAAATAAGTTTAATTTTTTAAAAAGCAGTTAAAACAAAATACAGCACTGATTAAAATACAATATAAAGTATCCCTTAACAAATGGTTTATCTCTATATTAATAATTTCACTGGAAAATATGCATGATACTCACTATAGGAAAAGGGTGGCAAAGAAGAAGAAATAGCTGAAATAGGACTTTCTTCCTTACATCTCCAGGAAATTGAATCATTCCACAAAACCTAGAAACACAAGATTAGGTTGTTAGTATTCTAATCTTGTGCCTTACCAAAGATCTGTTACCTAAAAATTTCAAAGCAGTCTCTCAAAGGCCTTCACATGGGAGATGCTGAATGCTGAAAAATACAATTTATTGTAGAGGATAATTCATAAAAATACCACATGATACTAAAGCCCTTCACATAGCCTTGTATTTTTTTCCCCCTAAACTAAATGCTATGGGAAACAGAATAGAAGGAAAATAGAAAATCTCAACAAGTAATAACAGTGCATTCAATATCATCAGATTATATTCATTAAGCAAAGAGGTTTCAAAAACTATTTGAAAGGAAGAACGAATATTTTGACAAATGTTTTTTGCCAATTAAATTCTCAGTTTTACAATACCTAACTGACATTTCTGATAGCTAAATTTATATTTATCTAGCAGAGAAGCCTGGTCAAATAAAAAACAAAAACAAAACTGAAACAAAAAAGAAGCCCCTTTATTTATTTTATTTGCTACCAAGATCCAATTGGGCAGCCTGAAGATAAAGGTGGCTGGTAAAAAAACAAAAACAAAAATACAGGCTATCATTGTTTTGTATTTAGCAATAAGGTCAGTCATAATCATTTTAACTTTACTTTTACTGTACCATATCAAAGATTTATGACATCACATAATATATCTGGATTCTCTGAATGGGACTAAAATATATTTGATAACAATTTTTGCAATATCAAAACAAAAGGGGAGAGTGTGGAACCTTTCTATTTGTCAAGATGAAAGCAAAGCATTTGCTCAAATAATTCCTGTGGAGCTTGTAAAATCCTTGTTGTTTCAGATCTAAACTGCCCTATGCCCCAATTTACCTCCCCTTCCAACTCTGCATTTCCACCATCTTTTCCAAAAGGCCTTCTTATATTCCTGGGAAACCTTGATTCTCTCTTAAGTAGAATTCATATTCTTAAATTGTGAACCAAATCCACTTAAAATTGTTGAGTATAAGAGCAGTTTTATGAATTCTAGTGTGTATAAATAATTAACATTATTTTGACGAAGGAATTTCTATTGATTCCTTAAATTTTTTTTTTATGAAAATGAAAGTTTTACAACTGTTTACAGAATAAGAAAAGGACTTAAAAATAATTCAAACAAGATGCCTACCCAAACAACTCCCAGACTTTTCTTCAAAGCCCTTGAACTATGTTTTAAGTACTATTGTTTTTTCTCCGCTTTCCTGGGCAGGAGACACCTTAAAACTTACACAGCAATGCTTGAGCGAAGCTTCTGTATGTCTTTGGATTTTTTGATCTCTTCTTTACAAAGGGAAAGCAACTTCAGGGAAAAGGGATGACTAAAGGGACAGAAAAACAAAGTTATTTTAGAGATAGAATTCCGATATCAAAGGTATAAACATAATAAACAGGTAAGCCAAAAGTTCCTATAGAGTTCCTACTGAAAAATGACAAATGAATTGGAAAGGCTTCTAGTTTATTCCCATTACAAATAATACTTATTCTAGGTTTATCTACTTCTAGACTACTAATCATCTTAAAGAAAACTACATTTATTCCTGTGCTTTCCAGTGTTTTTAACAGAAATGGGTTTTGTATTTCGTCACAAGATATATATACACACACACACACACACCCCTATACATATGTGTATGTATCTATATATATATATATATATGTGTGTGTGTGTGTGTGTGTGTGTGTGTGTGTGTATACATAGATATGTAGATATATGTATTGTTCATAATTATCAGTGACTAAGTAGTTGTTTATATATTGGTTCCAGCATTGAACTATAAGCTTTTTTAAACATGAATTGTTTTCTCATTTTTTTTTATTGCCAGTGCTTGCCAGAGTTTCCTAAAAACAGCAGGTCCTTAATAAATCCTTGTTTACTTGATTTTCCCAACACCAAGTCCAGTATAATATCTGCTATGTCATGCTGTCTCTTAATCATACCTAAAATTACATCTACTGCTCAGAATTTTCAAAACACTAATTTCTTTCTTTTTTGCACTAAAAAGTGATAATTAAATACTGAATTAATTTAAACAGACCAACTCTTCTTTTTGTTTTCGCCAACTTCATATTAGTAATAACAGATTCCAGTCATAACTAGCCCCCTCCTACCCTCCTAGTCTATCTTCCACTCAGTTGTCAAATTAATCTTCTTAATATGTAGGTCTGACCATTTTATATTCCTAGTCAGTAAAATCCATTGGCTCTCTATGATGTATCAAATACCAAATTAATATCAAATATTAAACTCTTATTTGGCATTCAAAGCTCTTCATATTCTGACACCTTCCTGCCTTTCCAGGCATATCCTTGATTCCAATGACAGTGACGTGCTTGCTGTTCCTCTCAAAAGACACTCCATCTCCTAACAGTGCATTTTTACCAGCTGTCCCCCATGCCTTTCTACCTCTTCCACCTCTGCCTCTTGGCTTCCCTGGCTTTCTTTAAGTTTCAGCTAATATCCCACCTGCTACAAGAAACCTTTCCCCCCTCTATACTATATTAGAGCAGTCTTTCTCTGTTGATTGTCCCCTGTGTATACTGTACAGTTATCTTGTATTACATACAGTTGTTTTCATTTTGTCTTCCCCTTTAGACCTGAGCAGGTACTTTTTTTTTTAACTTTTTAAACTTTTTTTTAATCTCCACTGAATAGCACAATGCCTGACTCAAAATAGACACTTAATAAATGCTTCTTGATTTGATTTATAGCACATCAGTTTTGTATTTTATTTGAATACCAGAATTTGTTTAGGCATCCCCTCACTGATGAGCATCCCTTCAGTTGCCATTTCTTTGCCACAATAAAAAGAGCTGCTATAGTTTTATTCATATGGGCCCTTTTCTTCTTTCTTTGATCTCTTTGGTGTACAGGCCTAGTAGTAGTATTCTAGGATGTCCTTTTTATACTTCCTTTATGTCTACAGTGACAAAGGTTTATAGCTCCATATTGTGGAACTTTATGTCAAGTTTGCTGCCTGAAGAATGTATTAGCTTATATTTGCTTTTTGTTTTATATTCTGGTATCTTAGTTTTTGTTAAAAATGATTGTATACACTATATGCTATACCAATACCTGAAGAGAACTATTTCTGTAATTACATGACACTTCTACAGTGACACACATGGATTCAGAGATTTTAATGTGTTTCATTTTGGTCTATAAAGGGATAGTTGTCTGTCTTACCTCCCACTTATATTTGTTGAAGTATGACATAGTATTAAATATTGATGATAATAATAATAGCTAACATTTACATAGTGCCTAATATGTGCCAAGCTCTTTACAGATATTTCATTTGATCATCACAACAACCCAGGGAGACAAGGAAGCTGAGGTAAATAGATGCCAAGTGACTTGCCCAGAGTCACACAGCTTCTACATTTCTAAGATCAGATTTCCATAAGGATGGTTATCTTTTAGCCACTGAGAAAGACATAACCTGAGATAAAGCAAAAGCAAAAACAGACCTAATAAAAAGAGATAAACAGGGAAACTATATTTTGTTAAAAGGTACCATATACACAACCAACTAATATAAACACTAAACATTACACATACACACACAGAGAACAGAATCTACATTATTAAAGGAAAAATTAAATGGGTTACAAAAGGAAATAGTCCTCTTGTAAATATATATATATTTGTATGTATGTATATATATGTTATATATATATATATATGAAAGAGGAGGACATCAATTTATTACTCTCAGATCTAGATAAATCTAACCAAAGAAGAAATGAAGGACCTGAATAGAATTTTAGAAATTATATAACATAGATATCTAGAGAATATTGAATGTGAATAGAAAGGCATATACCTTTATTGCAGTTGTGCATTCAGTAAAACTATCATATATTACAGCAGTGGTATCAAACCCAAACAGACATATGGGCCAATAAACCATACATAAGGATTCCTAAGAGCTACGTATTGACTTGTTTAAAAAAAAATTATTTTCAGTTATAAGACATGAAATATTGACTTAAGTTTTAAAATGTTATTTATGGTTTATTATATTTTTATTTATTTTGTTAAATATTTTCCAATTATATTTTAATTTGGTTTGGGCCTCACTTGGGAGTCTTACAGTCTACATGTTCGACAGCTCTGCATAGGAGCATGCAAACTTCAAACAAATACAGAAATGCAGAAATACTAAATGTATCTTTTATCAACCACAATGCAACAAAAGTTATAATAAAAAAGCAAAGATTTTAAGTAAAGATTAAAAATTAATTAGAAATTAAATACCTTAATCATAAAGAATGAGTGAGGTTAAAGAATAAATCACAAAAAAAACCCCCACAATAATCCCATTAAAGATAATGACATCAATGAGACAATATGCTGAAATTGATTGGCTAAATTGACACCCCCCCCTCCAAAAAATGAAAATGACAAATGCTAGAGAGGCTGTGGAGAAATAGGTACATGTACTCTGAACTGATCTAGACAGTCTAGAAGGCAATTTGTAATTATGCCCCAAAAGCTATTAAAATATACGTACCAATTCTGACCTCACAATAAGCACTACACAATATCTCCAAACAGATCGATGAAAGAGGAAAAGCACTTATACGTACAAAAATACTTATACAGCAGCTCTTTTTGTGGTGACCAAGATTTAGAAACTGAGGAGCTGTCTATCAGTTGGATAGTGATTGAACAAATTGTGGTATATCAAAGTGATGGAATACTATTGTGCTATAAAAAATGCTGAAGAAGATGGCTTCAGAGAAATATAGGAACACTTGTATGAAATGATGCAAAATGACATGATTAGAACCAGGAAAACAATTTATACAATAACAACAATATTATAAAGACAAACAACTGTGAAATATTTAGGAACTCTGATCAACAAAATGACCAACCACAATTCCAGAAAAATCATAAAGAAATATTCTTCTCATCTCTAGAGAGAGGTAATGAACTCGAGTACAGATGGAGACATGCTTTTTGGATATGCCTAATGATTGACTACAGATACTTGTAAAAATATTTTTTTTTTTGCTTTCTCAATGGAGAAAGGTAAGGAGTGGGGGATGAGAAATGAGGGGAAAAAAGGCAGATTTTCATTAAAAAAACTGTTTTAATGTTTTTTAAAAGATGGAAGGTTCACTGAAGGAAACAAACTAACTCCAAAACTAATGGACGGAGAATGAAGGGAGATTAAAAAGCAAGAAGTAATAGAAATTTTTTGATGGGGATGAGGAAAAATGAAGAGAAGAAGAGCAACAGAAAAAGATTTTTTCAATCAAGAATTTTAAGTACACTCATCACCTTCTTTGTAAAGAGGAGATCTGAGGAGGAAAAGAAAGGGGAAAAGAAAGGGGGAAAAAGCAATAAGATGGAAAAAATTCACAATAAAAACTAATAATTGTAAATGTGGATAAGATGAACTTACTCATAATATTTAAGAGCATCATAACCTGAGTTCAAATCCAGCCTCAGACCCTTGACACTTACTAGCTGGGTGACTCTGGGCAAGTCACTTGACCTCAACTGCCTCACCAAAAAAAAAAAAAAGGCAAAGAGGATCATAGACTATATTAAAAGGCTTAATCCAACAATATGTTGTTTACAAGAAACATACTTGAAATTCACAAAGAGTTAATGAAGGGGGTAGGAACAAAAACCTAAATTTCAAGTGAATTCAGAAAAGGAGAAGTAGCAATCATGATCTCAGTTGCTAGTAAAAATAAACACAACTAAAAGAGGTAAACAGAAAAACTGCATGATGTTGAAAGGCAACAATATTAGCAGCTAATATTAACGATGGGTATGTATGCACCAAATGGCATAGCATCTAAATATTTTTAAAAGAGGTTAACTGAATTACATGGAAAAACACATAAAAATTATAATAGTGTGGGATTCAATGTCTCCCATTCAAACCTAGACATATCTCACAAAAAAGAAACAAAATTACCTTTTTTGTAAGGTTAGAGTAAACTAAAATTAACTGAAAAAATTATTTTAGCAAAGTAGGAAGACATAAAATAAAAACCAAAAAAACACCAGCACTTTTCCACCATTCAGAAACATCATGCTGTGATTTCATGTTCCTTGGGAATCTGCTACTCCCTATCATGTGGTGATTTATTCTCCTTTGTCCTTCCATACTTTTTGAGATGTTTATACCCCCTTAGATTACTGTAGGCCATCTTCCCTTTTGTTATTAGTATCTTCAATGTTCTTTTATGTCCCTGGTGCAAGATTTTTAACTGAATTTTCTTCAGATATTTTAGGTAATTTTTTTTTTTGGTGAAGCAATTGGGTTTAAGTGACTCGCCAGAGTCACACAGCTAG